GAGAGAGAGAGAGAGAGAGAGAGAGAGAGAGAGAGAGAGAGAGAGAGAGAGAAGTGCGCTCAGCAGTGCAGTGATGTCTCTTTGAGGTGTGATGTTGCTCAAAACTCGCTGTTGCTATTTTTAGCCTCTCCCCTCATCCTCTCTCTGTCTGTCTGTGTCTCTCTCTCTCTCATATTCTCTGTTGCTAGGAGGCAGGCAGCAGGATGTGTCCTGCGGGGACCAAAGAGGTGAAACCGATAATGTAATGTTGGAATGGGAGGAGTGATGAACACAGGCAGTTTCCCTGCGTTTTGTCTCCCCTCTAAGTAGCTATAAGGTATATTTTCCTAAGGTTTAAACTGACATATTTTACATCTTTAGAAACTTTGAAGTGTTTCTACCATTTCAAATGCATATCTGCTGGTTTGAACAATGTTTGGCATCACAGCAGCGGTTTGTAGTGACTAAACAAACAGTGGCCTGGAGGTGGTCCTGAATATTCTAATAATGTGCACGTTGTTAGTTGTCTTTAGTGTCAGTTAAAGTTTCCCGAATTCATACTTTCATTCTTTGCTTCAAGAAGACTCAGCGTGCGTTCGGTAATATTATTTATTGTGGACTTATTCCCTGTGTAGTTACTTATCCCTTCATTTATTTTTCCATTTATTTTTTATTAACTTTGGCCTCGCTCGCACAGATGGCATTGCTTATTTTGAGGCAAACCTAAACCACATGGCACACTACCTAACCACACTGATCCCACAGTGTGGTCTTCCTGCAGAGGTGGAGAGAGAAAAGGATTAGAGAGAGGAAGAAAAACATCGGGACAACCTGGGGGCTTGGTGGTGGTGGTGGAGCTCAGATAGACTTTAGCTGCTATTTCACCCCAACACTCTTATTAAAACGAAGAGTGAGAGACCGACAGGGCAGAGTTTGTGTGACCATGATATCATGATTCAGATGAGCAGATGTTAAGCAGCAGACCGAATTGTGCTTCCTACAATCCTTCTCTCTTGCGTCTGTTAAACTGCCATCAGCGGTTTATGTAACGAAGCCTAAAGAAGCCGTGAAATCGATGTTAAACCTCCAGAAATGATCAAAAGTGTCATTCAGATACTTCTGTCTCAGTAGTTCACTGTCGGCGTGTGTCTCAGCAAAGTGAAAATCCTCATTCATGTTGAGATTGTAACACGTAAAGGTTTTAGTCTAAATCCCGTTGTGATTATTTGATCATCTTTCTCCTCTGACCCGAGCAACGCTTTAACAAAGACAAAAAGATGAGGAGTATATTTAATCTGTTCTTGTTTTCAGAGCAATCATTTCTTTTTATAATTTTCACACTCACGCCGTTGATTCATTAACAGGCGCTTTTGTGAGCTGGATTCTTCAGCCATGTGACTGTCAGTGTTCATCGCTGTTCTTCCACATGTCTGTAATCAGCTGATTGCCTCCAGTCACAAGTCTGTAACCCTGAAACAGTTTTAAAGTGAACTCTCTGTTTGTGTGTTTGTGTGTGTGTGTGGGTGTGTGTGTCTCTTTGAGTGTGTGAATATTCAATTACATTATGACCACACAATATCCACAACTGCATTCCTCAGAGGTTAAGAGCTTTGATTTTGGTCAACAGTGTGTTCCCGCAACTGAACTGACCTTTACGGGCCATGAGCTCATGACTGCGGAGACATAGACCCCAGTGTTTTCTCTGAGCTCACACTGTTTTATCAATGAATAGAAAGGAAGTACACATGCATAACAGTGTCCCGTCAGACCCAGGTGAAGGGGCTTTATCGAACAGGGAAAACTCCGAAGTTTAAAAATGTGGTATTTTCAAATAATTGGCATCATTTGTATTCCTCAAATGCTACGACTCGTCTTTATCTAACTTGTCTTTGCTATTTTCTTTCTTTCAGAGTGCTCGGGTGTGGATCCCCGATGCAGAGGAGGTGTGGAAGTCTGCCGAGCTCAATAAGGACTACAAAAATGGCGACGTCTCCCTGCAGCTCATGCTGGAGGATGGAACGGTGAGGATGAATGGAGGTGTAGGGTGGGGAGGAATCAGTCTCTCCCTCTTTATGTTTTTTCCTCTGTGTTTCATCGTCTGTCTCTCTTTCTCGCCGCCTCAAAGACACTTCAAAGTGCCGGGTCTCATTAGTGGTTATTGCTTTTAGCATTAGCACTTTCCACAAATGAGACCTGCTTGCAAAGATGCCCCCCAAGGAGCATTTAAAATGTGTAGCTGTGCATTTAATACTACAAACAGCTCCTGGCTCATAGTACTCCTGTTAATGAGAGCATGCTATACTGGCAAGACCATTTGCCATAATGCTCCTTATAATTTAGTCCCTTGATCATATGTAAAGGACTGCATCCATGTCTGTGGATGTTGCAGCTGATCTATGTGCAGATTACATTTACAGATAATTTAAGTTGATGAAACAGGTTTAGGTGATTGTGCAGCCCCGATGGAGCTGTGCTCTCTGTGTGTTTGCTGCTGTTGAAGATGATCAAAACAGCATCACTCAATCCGGTTATCTAATTCATTCCCGATGTTGTTTGCTAAACGACTTCCTGAATCAACCTTCCTAAGAAAACAAGTATCAGAAAGAGATCTATTTAATCGGGATATAAAAATATTAAATGTTTCCACGCAGAGAGACGGGAACCAAAGTGAAAACAAGATTAATAAATACAGCTTTGAGCGACTGGCGGTTTTTCTCCAGAGCCGTTCCAAATCAGAAGTCTGTCTGATGACATTTTTGAGAATATGCATGAAATACTGGCTGATATTGACCTTTAGCAATATAAAAGGACATGTTTCTCTCTCACATTCGGTGGTTATAAACCTAGAATGTAGTCATTTGGCAGAGTAAGGATGACTAATGCTTGTTTTTATAACATTTAATTTACAGTCGTATTGTATTCATACCATGAACACTGGAAGTATCTTTATTTGCAGGGAGACAGTGATTTGGTAAAAATCATAAAATCAAAAAAACCTCTAATTTAAATGAATGAATTCACAGTGTTGAAATGTGCTTTGCTCATCACATAATCTGATATAACTCTCCTGTTTTGCTCTGCTGTCCTGTTCATCTTCAGAACGTTGAGCACAAGCTGGACCCCAAGACGAAGAACCTGCCTTACCTGCGAAACCCCGACATCCTGGTGGGCGAGAATGACCTCACAGCACTCAGCTACCTCCACGAGCCGGCCGTGCTGCACAACCTCAAAGTCCGCTTCGTCGACTCCAAGCTCATCTACACTTACTGTGGTAGGCGAATGCAGCTCCACTTTCCACTTTAAGGAACGGTAATGTAAAGAAAAAACACACATAGCAGAGACGCGTCTCAGTTTGTCACCTGTTCGATGCGGTCCAGTTCAGCTGCAGGTGAGCTCATATGTTCCCTCTGTGTCGTAGGAATCGTTCTGGTGGCCATCAACCCGTATGAGCCGCTGCCTATCTACGGCACAGACATCATCAATGCGTACAGCGGTCAGAACATGGGAGACATGGACCCACATATCTTCGCCGTGGCAGAGGAGGCTTACAAACAGATGGCCAGGTGTGTGTGTGTGTGTGTGTGTGTGTGTGTGTGTGTGTGTGTGTGTG